TCCCTCCATCCATCCATCCACCCATTCACCCCCTCATCCCTCCATCCCTCCATCCCTCCATAGCATTGTGAGTCGGTAGAGCAAGTAAGATGTGGTTTAAGACTCTGATCTGAGGATAAATTTCAGGTGCCATAGAAAGAAGATGACAATCTTGGGACCCAGGTGACAATCTAATTTCTAAGATGACTGTGATGCTCTACCTCACATTCTTAGTGAGAAATATTTATCGGCATCATGGATTGATTGCCTATATGTGAAACCAGAACCCTGGATTTTCCCATACTTGTGAGTTTGTGAGTATCTCTTGGTTTCGGGTGAAGGGAGAGGACCTGGCCCCTCCTGGGGTGTCATTTTTGCCCGAGGCATTCACTGAAGAGGACAACATGCCTAGAACATGCATCTCTTCTCCACTTGAACCAGGATCACATTTGGGGTGTGCAGCCGGATGTGGGGGGCTGGCTGTGTAGACTCCGAGATACCTCCCCGCCTGAGCAGTTGTTAAGGTGGCTCTAAGATGGCCCTAAACTGGTTCTCTGTCATGGGTGTGTGTGTGTGTGTCTGATGGGATAGCCCAACCTGTCACCCACCCTAACCTACTGGATCAAGGAGACCTCCTCTCCTCTGGTCATAAGGCAGATGGTGGAACATGAGTCCCTGACCGTAACTGTTGGCTGGCAGAGATGCATGGAGATGGCAGGCACAGAACTCACAGTTCTCCATATTTATGTACGGATCTGACAAAGTGGAACCCCGAGACACACTAAGGTGATGAGCACGAGAACACTGAATACCCAGAATCCCCTGAAACCTCACCTGGGCATTAGCAGCCCCCTAACTCTTGCTACTGGAGAAGCTTCCTTGTTCCTGGAGACCCTGCAAAGACCTCATCTAAGGCAGCCCCACCCAAACAAATGTTGCTTCTCTTATTCAACATTAATCTCGGCTAACTTCCATTACTATCGGACTAATAACAAGGGTAGGTAAGACTAAGCAAGATGACAGCACAAGAAAAAAAAAATACAGTTTGGTTTGGATGGGAAATGCCTTACATTCAGAAGACACTGTAGGACCTGGCTCATATGTACTTGCATGAAGCGAGATAATATATGTGCCAGTGGATTTTGAGAATGTTGGTCCCGCAAGACAGGGAGCAGAATGTAAGTCAGTATGGAGAGAACTTATTAACGTGGGAACACAGAGCTGTGACTCAGGGTTTGATGTCCTTAAAGGGGCCAACCCAGACCCTTTAAGGGCCCCTATAATGTGCATGTTATAAAAGCGTGGACAACAAGAGTCTACAGTAAATGACATGGAAATACTGGAACTTCCTAGGCAGAGAAAATCGAGGAATTGGTGAGAAGGTCCAGGGGAGTAGGCTTTTAGATATGATTTATAACGTGAGTTCAGACGTCCTACCTCCAGCCTCTGTTTCTTTGGAGGGCAGAGAAATCACTACTCAAATAAGGCACTCATCCTTCACTGGCATCTGTGAAGAGCCCAGTGCTGACTCTCCTCTGCAAACCATTGTCGGAAGCAAGCGATGATGGCATGGAACTAGCAATCAATGGAGACGACAGGATTCTCAAAAGGCAGGGTCCCAGTGGTGGCACAAAACTACCAGGGGCAAGGCGGGCATCATTACCATACCGGGCAGCAAGGCCAGGGTGGAGTCACTCTCATTTGACTGACCGGAATCTCTGGCAATATAGATAGTATAGATGGTAGGTAGTAGTGTTCTAGGGTCTGGATGTATGGACAGCTGGCGGGGGTATTACTTGATTTTCGTAAGGAAAAAAAGAAAGAAAGAAAGAAAAGAGAGAGCTGGTAAGCAGAAAGCCGATGCTAGCAACCGTCGTGGAAAACATTAGTCCCCCACCAAGTGTCAGGGTCTAAGTCAGCCCATGGGCCCAGAGCCTTGATTAAGGTGGAGGTCAGAAAAACCCAGCCAAGCCTTTCCCAAAATCCCGTGTCTGTTTACCGAGGTACATGTGCACCGTGGTAAGGAGGATACCTGCATTTGAAAAAAAACTATATTGAAGATGAGTTCTCTGCTTATAAAGGGGCTTCTGAAGTCTAGATAATAATGGAGTTCTGCCTCATTTTAATCTGACAGGAAATCCAATGGTTCCGTGGATCACCCAGGGTTTTTTTTTTTTTTTTCCTTTTCTTTCTCCAGGCTCTCAGTATATAGTTGGCAATCACGTACTTGGTGGGTGGCACCATCTTCATATCAGCACAAGTGACAGTATATGGAAAGGCACACATGGAAGCCTATGAAGCTGCTATCTCCCTAGAGTATGAGAAAATAAAAGCAGTACTGATTCTATACTAAGAAAGGAGAGAAGAGTCAGATTACTAAAATCAGAAATGAAAGTGGGGACATTACTATGTGGAGAAATTGGAACCCTCATATATCGCTGGTGGACATACAAAATGGTGCAGCCACCATGTAAAACAATTTGGCGATTCCTCAGTAGGTTAAACATAGAACTACCATGTGACTCATCAATTCCACTCTTACATATACACCCAAAATAACAGAACACAAGGGTTTAAACAAAATCTTGTACAAGAATGTTTATAGAAGCACTATTCACTATTCACAACAGCCAAAAGATGGAAATAATCCCAAATTTCCATCAAATGAAGAATGGATAAACAAATTTGGTATACCCATACAATGGAATATTATTTGGTCAATTAGAAGGAATGAGGTTCTGATATATGCTACAACACGGATAAACCTTCAAGACGTTATGCTGAGCCAAAGATGCCAGACAAGAAAGACCACATGTTGTTTGATTCCATTTATATGAAATACCCAGAATAGGCAACTCGCAAGAGACACAAAACAGATTAGTGTTTGCCAGAGCCTGAGAAGTGGGGGAATGGAGAGTGACTGCTTAATGGGTGAGGGTTTCCTTCTGGGGTGATGAAAATGTTCTGAAGCTAATTAGTGGTGATTACTGCACAACTTTGTGAAAGTACTAAACATTCCTGAATGATTAAAGTGCTAAATGTTATGTCAACTTTACTGCAATAAAAAAAAAAAGAAAGAGAAACAAGAGAAATATGGAGGAAGATCCTCTAGATTAAAAGGGACTTAAGAGACATCTCTACCAATCACAATGTATGGTAATTATTTGGTTTCTGACTCCAATAATCAAACTGTTTAAAAAAAAAAAACTTTTTTTTTT